CGTGCCAGCTCGTTCTGAAACCTGGTGTTATTCGGGGTGTTCCTCCAGACCGCAGGCCAGTTCAACGTCGGTCTTTGCGCCAGGGGCTGCCCCGATAACCTCGAGCATGTACTCTGCCGGGTTGGCCTTTTCGGGGAGAGCATGAGCACCGTTCCGGGCGAAGTAATCCATAAGGGTGCGGGAGCCTTTTCCAATATCGCCAAAGTATATCGTCTCGCCTTTAGACAAGAGCAAGAGTCGGTCAAACCTCTGGAACAACATTGCTGAAGGCTGGTGTATTGTACAGAGGATGGCTTGTCCGTGCTGGGTCAGTTTCTCCATGAGGTTACAAATCGACCAGGAGGTTTGACTGTCTAGCCCCGACGTCGGCTCGTCGAAAAAGAGAAGAAGTTGGGGACGGGCCGCGAGCTCCACGCCAATGGTTAGCCGCTTACGCTGTTCAACGTTGAGACCCTCGCCGGGAACGCCAATGATAGCATCAGCATAGCCCTCCATGCTCAGTAGTTCAATGACGGTGTCAACGTAGTCTATCTTCTCCTGTTGCGTGTACTGAGAAGGCTGCCGAAGCAGGGCGCTAAATCTGAGAGCCTCACGGACAGTGGAGGTAGGAAGATGGAGATCCTGTTGCTGGACATATCCCGTCTTGCGTTGGAAGGACTCGTCACGGGGGCTCCCGTTGACGAGCATGTCACCGGTGACAACCCCCGTTGTAACGCGGCTGGCGAGAACGTCTAAAAGAGTGGTCTTTCCTGCGCCAGATGAGCCCTGCAATATCGATAAGCAATCATGACAAATGAGTCTGCGCGGAAACCGTACCATCAGCGCTGTCAGGGTGCCTGGTTTGACCCAGCCGTCTACGTGGTCCAAGATTCTGCGGGTCTCGCTTTTGATTCGAACGTCGTAACTTACACCACCCCAATGGAACACGGAAGTCTGTTTGTCCACGGCAGCTGCGCCGCTACTGTTAGCCACATGTTGTAGAGCAGTCGTTGTCGGGGAAGCCGTCTCGAGGTCTCTTGGTGCCTTCTTCAGTTGTTTCATTGCCTTGCGAAGATACACAAGTACTTCGCCTTTAGAGCGTTGGGAGGCAACATACTCCGTGGCTAAGAGATGGAGTCCAAAGTAGAGCACACCAAAGGCAACGACGACGCCCCAGTTTCGCCATTTGTGGGACATGTCGTAACTGTAGGCAGTACTCAAGTAGGCAGCCCCGTCAACAAAGTCCTGTCCAGCAACGGAACCTTGTGCCGAACAGGCTTTGGCGCTTGGGGGAACGTTATCGTACCCTGTCCCGGACGGGACATATGTGGTGCACGGGAAAGCTCTTCCGTTGAACTCGTTAATCATGATCGACTCGAGGCCATAGAAAATGGGATTGCCCCAGCGAGACCATTTGATCCAGTTCTTCATATAGTCGACAGGGATGGTGAAGCCGGTATAGAGGATCAAGCATAGCAAAATAATGGCGGATGGTGCCATTGCCTGAGCGATGGACTTTGTCACCGATGCAATGAGCCGGAAAAGCATTGACATGGTCAAGACAACGGTAAAGGCAACAAGTAGGAAGAAGAAAAAGTTACCCGGTTCGCGATGCAAGTTCGCCATGAAGTACACCGTTACGTTGGTAATGACGGCATTGAACAACTTGTATGGCAGGTCGACCACCATGGAAGAGAGGGCTTCCGCGCTTGGGTGGTAGAGTGCATAGCGGGCATGCTTCTCTATAATCTTCCGTTTGGCGTATAGCGAAACAATCTCCAAGACGCTGCTGTAAGCATTTGTAAGGATGATAAAGAATAAGAGAATTGCGCGGTTCTCCAAGGACTCCGCACCCCCGGGTAAGTTATAGAAAACGCTACTGACGACGATGGCTTGGATGAAATTGATCGTAAGCATCGTCAACGTCAGGCTTGGGTCGGTTTTGAGCATGAGGAAGCTTCGCGCCAACGTGAGGTTCATCTGCTGAAGATACGACAACGTAAAGGGCGACTTGGCGCGCTGAGTCGAGGCTTGATCTAGCCGGCGGGATTCGATAAACTTGTTATAATGATCTCCATGGAACGGGTGTCGCACAAGATAATCTTCAACGTCTTCCAGTAGCTCTGCGCGATCACGGCTCTCCTTCCATGCCTTGGAAAACTCGTCGGGCGTGCGGGGCGTCTTGTTCTCCCACCCCGGGCAAATGACGCGCTCGTCAGAGCTGGTCATGGAAGTCAAAAAGTCTGCAGTTGTTTGCTGGTCGGGACAGATGAAGCCGAGTTCCTCGAAATAGGCCTGAGCCCTGGAAGTCTTCCCAAAGAAGATCTGACGCCCCTCGTAGAGGACGAGCACCTTGTCGAAGAGCTATCTTGATATTAGCTGAAAGTCCTTGACCAAGGTAATCCGACTCACATCATAGGCAGTCTGGGGTGCTTGGTAGATCGCGACGCATGAAGTACAGCCCATGACGTCGGCCTGCGTACGCAATGTTCTGCAGAACTCAATGGCGTTTGCGCTGTCGAGGCCACGCGTACTGTTGTCCCAGCACTGCAACGGCGAGTAGCTCAATGAGGCCTCCGCAATAGTAACGCGCTTCCTTTCGCCACCGCTTACACCCCGAACAAAGTCATCGCCGACTCGTGTATTCTTCGTGTGTGAGATACCGAACATAGCCATGGTGACGTCTCGAAGATGTTCGATATACTCGTGTCGACTAATCCCAGCGGGGACATTCTTGGGGCACCGTGCGGCCGCTGCAAAGTAGAGGGTGTCGCCGACTGTGAGCTGGGGAAAGTGGTGGTCCACCTCTGCTGTGTAAATAGCTTCTCCCCGGAATGCAGTCCTAATCTCGTCGGGGTGTATACCAGAGTAGTTGAGTGTCGACGTGTCCTGGACGTGGAATCCATGGGTTTCGCCGGCCACGGTCTTCAGGAAGGTTGAGCACCCGGACCCGGGGGGTCCTAGCACGCAAAGCATCTCACCACTGTGGACGACACCTTCAAGGTCGCGCAAGATGTCGATGCGCTGTTGCTTTCTGTTGAAGAGCTTGCTAGCTAAATTGACCCCTTCCAGGAAGATATTGCCCACGCTCTTCTGAAAGTCGGTATCACTTCCGAAGCCATAGACGTTGAGATCGCGAAAGGCAACGCCTGTCGTCTTGGGCACATTTCCTTGAAGAGACTCCTTCCTGGCACTGAAAAAGGCCTTTGCCCATTGCTTCGCGTTGAACCTGTCGCTGTTGGGATCCAACGGACTGTGTTGGAGGAGGGGGAAAAGCGCCGCCGGAGGGCCCGAGACGTGCGATTGGGTCGTCAATCGTCTAGCGAGTTGAATCATGTCGTGCCGTATCTGTTCATCTGCGCCGTCGGGATTGTCTGTCGAACCACCCGTGTCGGCGAGAGTATTCAGCGAGCCACGAGACGATGTTCCATGGTCCATTGTTGGGCCTGGCTTTTCGACCTCCAAGCTGGCTCTTGGAGACGGCATCGGATCGAATTCTTGGCGGGAAGGAATGTGATGTAGTTTGATGAATTGTTTCAGAACGTGGGAGAAAAGAAGAACAGTAAGCTAGTTGGGATGATGAAATACAGCTGGAAACGAGCGGGTTTATGACAATGCTGACCGGCGACGACAGCTTAACATGATGGCTCAACATGATGGCTCAACATGACGGCCGTGGAACATGCCCTCCCTCCGGACGGTGCGGCGCCTCGTCAATGCGGAGCGGCTAATTGTGGGACGGACATTCGGCGTCTAGTGGCCATGACGCCCGGATGCGAGATAAGACAGTGTCTCGGATTACTGGGGCCAGGCCTCGGTCATTTCTTTGCCTTCAGCACTAGAGCGGGAGCCCGTGCCGGGATCCACGTGAAGTGCCTTGTCCCTGTCGGACTTGCGGACATTGAGCTTACTAGGTAGGATCCAGAGTGTCGGACTTCTCAAATCACGAACCAGGCAGCAAGATCTAAGTTCCGCAAAAAAACTTTATTAGCAATACGAACCCATATTGCCATCGCCGTGGCGCAATAAAATCCGGTGCGTTCTACCGAAGCTCGCTGTGCCTCAAGATAACCAGCATGGAACGGGGATGGACGGCCTACGAGGGCAGCTGCAACGACAGAGGAATGCCATCAGGTAATTGCTGCTGGCCGTGCTGCTGCAACGGCAAGATCGAATCTGCATGGACTCCAACTCTCCGCCGGGAGGGCCTTTGAACGGGTTAGCGGTGAGTTTGGTTACGGATGGCTTTGCTGTCAATCCCCATCATCTCCTCTCAAGATGGTTTCCTGACATAAGATTGCCTCCAGTGTCTTGCCTGCAAGTCCCGAAAGGTATGTATTACCCTACGCTCGATCTTTGGCTCTAAGCAGAAATAACGGACGCCAGTTTGCTGCGTGGAACCTGCTGACATCTATCCAGACCAGATGCGACCGTTCGAAGCCCACCTGCGATGGTTGCTTTGCGCGGCGCCAACCGTGCATCTATCCCAAGCGCAAGGCAAGAAAAAAGGCCAACTCGGCTGCCAGGCGATCAACTCCGCAGTACGTATGTCTCGGCCTGTGCGAGCTCTCAAGCCTGTCTCCTTCCTGTCGGTCATCGATGTTGACGTGTCATCGGACGCAAGCGACGGAATTCTCTCAGATCTTTTCGACCGACTTCTCCAGGTCGAAGACAAGTGCTCAAAACTTGTCGCTAGCAGTTCCCAGGTCAAGGTGTCGCCGTTGGTAGCTGACAGCGACTCTGAAACAAGTCCATTCTCGCTTCTTGGCGCATCCCCAACCGCAAAGGTTGCAGACGATGCTCCCGGAGAAGAGGCAGGGGGTATCGTGGGAAGCAGTCTTGAGAACCCCTATTCCGCCGATACGCTTCTCACGGAGGCTCTTGCTCAGGTGGTACATCTGAAACACCAGAGATCCAGTATTCGATCATCATACAACGAGAATCATGTTCCACCAGATATTGCCAAGGCGTGTCTCAACAGTACGCTGCTGCCACGCATCCTCCTTTCTAAACGCTTCGCTCAACCCTGAACAGACTTCTGCAGGCATTACATGGCCGACATCTATCAATATTCGATTAACACCAAGCTCATGTATCTGATTCCGCACATGATCAACATGCCAGAAGTCAACATAGACCCCGCCGCGCTCAGCCTCTATCATGGCATGCTTTACCATGGGTCTCTAAGCGTGGCCACGAGACCGGACTTGCAGATCGAAAATGTCACTCGTGTCACATATTTCCATTTTGTCCGTGCCATAGCCGCCTGGCAGAAGAAATTCTCGGGGACGAGGACTGACCTTGTCGTCGCAATTCTATATGTACGTGCTCTGCTCGTTGACTAAGTACTCGCCCAATCGAGACTGACCAGGACAGATGCGAGCTGCATTCCAGCAATATGATGTAGAGCTCAGCTGGAGCATGTTTGGCCTTGTTTGCGAATGCGTAAGGACTCTTGGTATTCATCACATTGATCGGATTTCTCTGGGCTGCTCCATGCATATCAAGTTTTCAACCACCCAGGCGAATCAAGACGAAAAGGGCTTTCGGGCTCTGGTATCTGTCGACCTTTTCTTCCGCTTATTGCACGACAAACCTGCCTTAATCACAGCCAACATGACTGGATGCCAGGCTAGCCTTCCGTTGGTTGACTTGGTCTCCGAGAACCCCGAGCAGGCCGTTTCTGGCTTGGACTCCCTTGTTGCCTCTCGATTAACGGACCTTCTTCTTCGGTTCTTCGATATACTGAGCCATTACAAGAGGGAGCTCAACAACGACATAATCGGTTGCATACAAAGTCTCTCTGAAGAGATTGAAAGTTTGTTCCGGGAGTGGCCAGTGGTACGTCTAGGTTTCAGGATCGTGTTTGGATTCTACACACCCCTGCATCACTCTAACAAAAACGAACAGATAGATACAATGACTGCCTCTGAAAACAAGCCCGAACACTGGTGGATGCTCTTCGACCTGACGCTGATAGCATACAGCTCAATGATCACCATGTGTCGGGAATTGTTACACATGCCCATCTGCCTACCCACCACTCCCCCGGGGAGGGGAGCCATCCATCAGCTCGTGCTCAGCATTGCGCGCCGCATGCTGAACCTCGCCTATGCTGCTCTCGTCAGCTACCCAGTCTCGACAGTAGTCTGCTACATGTTTGGAGCATTTCGCTGTGATATGGCCTACGGCTGCATGGTAGAGCACTTGCTTGCTGGCGACCCCGGCGAGCCTGGCTCAACAGCTGGGCCCGACATAACCATCTTGTGGCAGGTGGCGCAAAACGTTACCTCAATCGCAGAGAGAGACCAAGACATAATGCCACTCGCGAGCACTCTCTACGAAATGAACCAGATCATCCGCGCAAAGTGGGTTTTGGTTTCATCAGGTGTGACGACTCGCGGGAATGCAGGGCTCCAATGACCGCCTCTCGCAAGGTGCAACCCCTTGAGCTGGTGCCAAGGCCCTTCATGGCCTTGGCCTGGGCCCTGGTCAGCTGAGGGTGTCAGGCAGGAAAGGGTCGTGGCCATGACGTCAATGAATCGAATCTCACCCAGACCATTGGCGTGGCGGTCGCATGACTGCATGGGTATCAGGGCCGCCTGCGATATAATGGATCATGAGCTCGCCATCCCAATGCCAACAGCGTGGATGACTCTCGCACGGAATATCTTTCTGGGGAATCGTCGCATGTCAAAGTAATCTTTTCCACGATTCACACAGTCTTCAATGAGAAAGTCGACATATTTCCACCTTGGCTTTATCGTCAGCCTCGCTCCGGCACAAACAAAAGCTGGTCTTGCTTCGAAACAGGGACTTGCTGTTCACGGCGATGCACCCAATTCCGATAACGAGTTCCTGTCATCACAAAATTCGCCCATCTCCTGGTATTATACGTGGTCCCCGTGGCCTTCTGATACAGTCAACAACTCGGTAGCATTTATTCCCCTCCTGCATGGTCTTGACGCAGCATCCGACGATGAGTTGAAGTCC